GTAACAATTTTTACAGATTCTAAAATCTGTAAATTACAATAGCTGATTCTGTATTCTTTCTAGATAAAAGCAGCATTTATTTCGTTCGTTTATCACAAAAATTGCAGAAATCACAGCATTTTCAGTAACATGATTACAATTTTTATTACTCTACAATGACAGCATTTAAATTAACTCCGGTCCGCGGCCATTACCGGAATTTAAATGGCCCAGTCCCTTAATGGTTAAGGGAGGAACATAGACTGAATGTGTTTGAGAACTGGGTGCTGAGGAGAATATTTGGACTGAAGAGAGAAACAAAGTGACAGGAGGTTGGAGAAAGCTGCATAACGAGGAGCTTCGGAACTTGTACTGTTTGTCAAGTATGACTAGAATGATCAAGTGAAGGAGGATGATATGGGCAGGGCATATATTACGAATGGGGAAGCAGAGGAATGCATGTAAGATATTGTTGGGAAATTCAGAAAGAAAGAGAGCACTAGGGTGACCAAGATAGGTGGATGGATAGTATTAAAGTGGATCTTAGAAGGGAGGATGAGGTGGTATGGATTGGATTGATGTGGCTGAGGATAAGGACCAGTGGAGGGCTGTTATAAACATGATACTGAACCGTCAGGTTTCTTAAAATGCTGGGAAGTTCTTGATTAGCTGCACAACTGGCAGCTTCTCAAGAAGGGCTCAGCTCCATAAAGTCAATTATATGTAGTTACTGCAATTGTCAGATAAGAGGTGAAATCCAATCATAATAATCTGAGAGAATCTTGCTTCACAAATGCCTGGGACTGAACCAGATTTACCACAGCTTGGCTTTGTGAAATGTTGGGAATCCTAATGGGCCACTGTGTTGCAGGTGTGTGACAGTCTGCTGAACATAGGACCTTGTGGCAACATATCGATGGGGGAACCTGCATTCTTGTCTGAAGAATTCTCCAACATGCAGGATCCAGATATAGAACTATTTACTACATCTGGCTATGGGAAGAATGGGGCATTGTGCGTTTTACAGCGTTCAGTGAGGCCACAGGTATGAACATATGTACCTGAATTATGTAAGTACTGTTCATGGTGACATTATCCTGTCTAGTTACAGTTTGAATTTACATGGAAACTCATGATGTGCTTTGTCCTGCTATAGAATATGTCCTCCGAAAACTTCAAGCAAACCTGTCTAAATTCAATAGTTGTACGTAGGTCGTACCTAAAGTCATGAGCAACTTCTTTTGCATGCAACCCAGGAACAGCAGATGAAAGAGAGTACGGTGGTAGGTGGAACCAGCTGTTGTGTTAACCTTGAGTGTCTTGTGTTGTCAGTAGCTTGCATCACGTGACCAGTATCACTCCTAACAAAATGGCCGACAGCGATATGTCATTTTGCCAGTGTGCTGTCATCGAATTTCTTGTGAAAGAGGAAATCCCTGATGCAGAAATTCACCAGAGACTTCAGCATGCTTATGGAAGTGTGTGCATGGGTGCGAGCAGTGTTCGAAGATGGGTGAAACATTTTAAGGATGGGAACACCAGCATCGAAGATGAGCCTCCGAGCAGTCGTCCTTGAACGGCCTCAACTGAACGCAACAAGGAAAGAGTGGATGAGATCATTCAAGATGACAGGCATGTGACTGTGGACACAGTAGCTCGAAAACTTGGAATAGGGCACAGTGCAGTACAGGAGATGATTGAAAGCTTGGGCTATAGGAAAGTTTGTGCTCGTTGGGTCCCACGGTTATTGACTGAAGACCACAAAGGTCAGAAAAAAGCCATCACCTCAGAACTGCTGCAGAGATATCGACACGAAGGCAATGTTCATTGCATGCCTTGTCCTCACATTAAAATAACTAAAATATATATCTATCATATACATTGGCAAATGTCAAACGTTAAAAATATTAAAATTGTTCAGGATTCCACCTCGCTACGTCGCACCTCACTACGCCAGTCACGCCCATTCTCCATTCTCTGTTGGAGCACTCCTTCACTATCGTGTGTGTGTTGTGTTTTTGTTGTGTCTTGCTCCTGTGACTGCGTGTGTTATACTCAACACACACAGTCACAGAAGCAAGACAACAAAAACACAACACACACAAGGACAAGGCATGCAGTGAACTAGTTTGGCGTGGATTGAGTAAGCACCTGAAGATGGCATTATTATGCCGAAACATGTAGTGCAAGTGAGAGACGGAGATAAATGAGTGTATGCACTGCAAGACGGTTTAAATAAATCATGGACTTAAATCAGTGCAACAGGACGCTAAAATATAACATTAACGAAGGCAATGATTTTTTGCTCTGTATAGTGCCAGGTGACAAAGCTGGTTTTACCATTTCAAGCCTGAAACAAAACAGCAGAGTATGGAATGGCACCATTTGCATTCTCCATCAAAAAAGAAGGCAAAGACAGTGCCATCAGCTGCGAAGGTGATGGGCACAGAAAGTCTTCTAGGATGCAGAGGGGTTTATTCTGGCCGAATTCCTGGAACCTGGGCAAACCATCAACGCTGCCTGTTAAGTCCAGACGCTGCACAAGCTCCATCATGCATTGTGTGATAAACGTCCAGGACGAAACATCATCATCCTGCATGACAATGCTCACCCTCATGCCCTCACCTCACATTGGAAGCAATTACAGAGATGCGTTGGGTGATCTGGCACCTTCCAACTACCATCTTTTCGGATTTGTGAAGGATCAGCTGCATGGACAACATTTTGAGACAAGGGAGGCAATTCAGAAAGCAGTGCATCAGTGTCTTCAGATGGCTGGAACGGAATTTTACAGAAGGGGAATTTTCACACTCCCAGAACGCTGGGAGAAATGTGTACAAAGAAGTGGCGATTATGTGGAAAAATAAAGAAAGGTCTGTAGGTTGAGGTGGTGTGTTTGGTTTGTCAATAATAAAGCATGTTACTTTACAAAAAATTGTTGCTCATGACTTTCAGTACGATCCCCGTGTATGTCAAAGACATTAAATTGTTGTGTCATTATATTGTCACGTGTTGGGTATATACCGCGACAAATAACTTCACGCCGTCTTGGATCTATCGAGTTTATTGAACACTCGCTCTCACAATCACACAATTTGCAATCTCACAACTACTGCCATCGGCAGTATCACAAATCTTCTCCTGTAGTCACTACCATGCACTCAATACAACCTGACTCGGCAACTGCAACAATTCAACTGACTGGTTACTCTCTCTCTAGTAACTGGCTTAATACTCACTACTCCTGAATAGTGTTCGCTGCTCCTTATTTAGGCTTGGCACGGACAACATAGAGAACACCTTTCTGCTCGGCAACAGATATCAGGTATTGCTGTAAGGTGTTTCTACCCTACGCATTGCCTATCAATAGTCGCTGCATGGAGTCGCCTGTTGCGTGACGTCACAGCCTCGCGGGAGGGTTGTTTACCGAGCATTGCGTAATGTTAAGAGTGTGGTTACATGACGTCACTCGTGGAAACGCAGAGTTCACGTGACCCCTACTTCCTGTTGCATCATCCATGTCACAATATTAATAATGTAAGGAATAAAGTACAAGTTATGCTTGAGGTTGTGCCTGGGCTGGTTCAGTACTCTTTATATTATAAATGTCCCCACAAGAAGAAATCAGACAGAGCAATGTCAGTAGAATGAGGTGGCCCTGAACCACAGCTTATAATTCTTTCATAAGATCTGAGGTTCTGGCAGTGGGTCATGAAGAGTTGTATCTTCTGGGATATAGTGCCATGTAGTCCATTGAAAGCCAGTCGAAGTTTGGAGGAACAAGCAGAGCTCTGCTTGCTACCTGCTTGGCTTATTTTTCAACCCTAAAGATGGAACAGACTGTACAGTGTTATATGCCAGAAGATTTTATAATTCTTTCACCACAACATTCTATTTAGTGTTTTTGTGGAATGCTCAGTGATACATACAGTTGCGGACGTGACGTTACATACTTCCTGTAATTAATGTTTATCATCTGTGTTGCATAACTGTGTCAGTGCATGTCTAATGTCATACTTTTTGCAGTATAAATCCAATTTCCATCAGCTTCATACTAGCAGAAGGTTTAGATCCCCTGTTCCTAGTTGATTAAAGCTAATTGTTTCTGCTTATAACGCAGGTCAAATGATCCATCTCATCCTCAGGGTTTCCCAAACACCAACTTTTATATCATGAAGTGGAATTTTGTGTGGAAGGTGTGTCGGTTGCTTATTGTATTAATAAATCAGTGTAAGTACAATGCAACCTCAATATTATGAGAATTTATAAAATTAGTAAGTATCTGTTCTAATGGATCTACATAATATCCAAAAATACTGAAATGTATAAATAAAAGTCCATCCCCAAACTTCTGATTATGTATAATTAAATTATAGATGTGTGGTTTATTATTATACTGGCTCTTGCAGCTGACACAGCACTCTTCTCACGTAGATCAGTGGCCACAGTAGTTGGTATTTCGCAGCCCACTTTTCTGCTGCAGTTTAACTTACCTTGTTTTATAGGAGAGACTCAGAGTGATAACCCTCTGTTTCTATAGGAGAAACCCTAAGTGACAACCCTCTGTTTCTAAGTATGCCTCATGTCATGAGACACACATGAGAGCTGTTGCACAGGAATAGCCAAAATTTCATGCTTCACATTTTCTTGCAGTTATTCCAAAGAGTGGAGATCATTTACGTGGTGTGTTCAAAAAGTATCAAACCTTTGGTCGGCAGAAATACATTTATTGATTTGGAGGTACAAAACCCTAATCCCCTTCAAAGTAGTCTCCTTGGTAACGCACACACTTCTCCCAGCGCTTCCGCCATTGTTGTAAATACTTCTGGAACGCGTCTTTTGGAATGGTGATCAGCCGGGCCATCGCATTCCACATGATGTCTTCTATTGACTCAAATCGGGTTCCTTTCAGTGGCATTTTCAGCTTGGGAAATAGCAGAAAAGTCACACGGAGCCATGTCAGGGGAGTAGGGAGCCTGACGAACCACAGGGATGTTGTGTTTGGCGACAAAAGTCTGAATCAGATGCGCAGAATGGGCAGGTGCGTTATCATGATGGAGCTGCCAAGTTTTTGCTGCCCACAGATCCGGTCATTTGCACCTCACAGCATCATGAAGGCGACGAAGGACCTCCTGGTAGTATTCCTTTGTGATGGTTTGGGCTTGTGGTGTGTACTCATGATGCACAACCCCACGAGAGTCGAGGAAAACGGCCGACATAACCTCGACATTGCTGTGGACCTGCCATACCTATAAACCCACAACTCATCGCCTGTGATCACGGTGTTCAGAAAGTTGGGGTTACTGTTTGCATTGTCCAGCATGTCCTGTGCAATTTCCAGACGGCGTTGCTTCTGCTCCATTGTTAGAAGTTTCAGTATGAATTTTTTGCAGACACTCCCCTCATGCCCAAATCCTCGGTCAAAATTGAATGTACCGATCCAATGCTTACCTCTATCTCATTCACAAGTTCTTGGACTGTGATATGACGGTCCTCTATGACCAAAGTCCACACTTGCTCAATAACATTCTCATTTCGGCTTGTTGAGGGTCTACCTGAACATGGTTCACTGTCCACTGATGTGCGGCCATCTTTGAAGTGGTTGTACCACTCCTTTATCTGTGAGTTGCTCATGGCATCGTCCCTGAAAGCCTGTTGAATCTTGCGAATGGTTTCCACTTGGGTATTGCCAAGCTTGTGGCAAAATTTGATGCAATATCGCTGCTCATGTTGTTCTGTCATTTTACACCTTACTGGAATCTGACGAGTGCTCACCACATGTCCTCACTCATAGGCCGACTGCCAGCAACTGACGCTTGCTGCAGGCGGGAAAAAATTCACGACTGTGCATGAATGTCCCCTCCACATCTCCACCGAAGGGAGCCTCCCCCACTCCGTTGGTTTACGCGGGAAAAAAGAAGGTTCGATACTTTTTGAACACACCACGTATATGCACAGAGCCCACAGTCCTGTTCTAAGTCTTATTCGCCAAAGCCTTTTTCTAATGCATCCTTAGAATGGTTTGTAGTGTGTGCTGTTGTATTA